CCCCCCCCCACCCCGCTAATCCTCCTCCAGGTGGGTGCTGCCGAGGGTGGCGCGCCCCTTGCCTTTCAAACTGGAAACCCAGAGAAAATGGTGTCCCTACCTGTCGCCCATGTGGCCTCTCCCCGGGCGGGTCAGCGGCTGCGGCCCGGTCCTCCGGGGGGGGGCTGCGGCCCCCCGCCCTCTCCTCTGCGGTGGGCGAGGCTGGCACGTCTTTCTTCTGACCTCAGATGACTCTGAGCCTTATCTCCCCAAAGCGGCCCACGAGCAGCGGGGGCTGGGCGCCCGGGTGTGGGGGCTGTAACTGGAATCTCCTGCTTCCCCTCCCCGGCCGAGATGCCCCCAGCTCCCCAGGAGCCGGGCCCTTGCCCCAGGCCCCTCGGTGGCCCCCGTCCCGGTGCGCCAGCCCCGCGTGGAGAGGAAAGCCGTGCGGGCGGGGGGGGGGGCCGACGCCAGAGTGCCCGACACCCGTCCCCTTGGCCCGGAGCAGGCCTGCCACAGCGCTGCACGTCCGTCCCCCCGGGGTCTGGGGCCCGACCCCTGTCTCATTCCCCCTGGCCTGACTGGAAGCAGAAAATGACCAAATCAGTATTTTTTTTAAAGAAACGTTAGGAATGTTATTGTTGGAGGCAGCTCGGGCAAGCCTGGGTGTAGCCACCAGTGGCCCTCGAGGGCTCTCGGGGGGACGACGGTCTCGGGCCGGCCTCTCCGGGCATGGGCGCCCTCCGCGCACTAGCGGTGGGGGGCAGGGCGCCACCCAGAACCCAGAGCCTGCCCGCCCGCCCCCCCCACCCCGGCCCAGGGGCTCTCACGGCCTCTCCCGCCCGCCCACCTCCCTGGCCCGTGTCCCTGCCTGGTGGTGCTGCGCCCCTCACTGCCTCAGCCAGAGCCTCAGCCGGCGCGGTCGGTGCTCCTTGTCGGACCGGACTCGGGGTTCCGGGGTGGGATGAAGCCGGGGGTCGCCCTCAGCTGGGAGCCTGCGAGGAGCCACCCTGCCCCCGACCCCCGGCTCCCGGGGCCCCCCTGCCCGCCCCGCCCCCCCCACCTTGGTTCGCCTCACCATGCATCTCACTCTGGGTGTCTTGGTCTTTTATTTTTTTGTAAGTGTCATTTGTATAACTCCAAATACCCATGATAGTAGCTTCGGACTGGAAAGAGCAAAATAAAATAACACAAATCCAGCACGGAGGCCAGCCTGTGTGTGTGTCTTCGGGGTGAAGGCGGCAGGGAGGGCTGGTCTGAGCAGCCCGGGGGGCCTCCAGGAACGGAGGAGGGGCCTTGCAAAGGTGTGGGGTCCTAGGCAGTGGGGGGCACTGCAGCTCTGGGGGGAGGGGGCAGGGGAGGGGCCACCTCTAGTGTTGGGGCCTGAGCTGGAGGCACTTGGGGCGGGCCTGCGTCTGCGTGTTTAGGGGGTGGAGAGAGGTCAAGGTCAAGCCCAGGGCGGACGGGGGTGGGGTGGGCACACACCCTCCTGCTGCCAAGGCAGGAGCAGTGCAGGGGGCCTGCTTGAGGGGGGCTCGGGGGACTCTGTCCCCCTCCAGCTGGGTGTCCAGGGGGCACATGGCCTGGGAGGGGTGGGCGGGGTGGCCAGGTTTGCAGTTCAGGGCGGGTCCTCACATCCAAGCAGGACCCCCGGCCCGGCTCTGGGTGGGGGGGCGGGGGGTGTTTCCTCCCTGCAGACAGGAAGCAGCTGAGAGTCTGCAGCTGTGCTGCGCGGGGAACCTGGGACCAGCAGCAGGGACTCCAGGCAGGTCAGGGGGCTCTGGGCTGGCCCTTTGGCTTCAGTGGTCCGTCACTGGACCCCCAGCACCCCTGGGTGAGGGAGCTGGGCTCCCACTTTACAGAGGGTCAGAGCAGTGAGACAACCGTGCGGGTGGAGGGCGGTGCCACCCGGGTGCCTGACAAGACGGTGACTGAGTCAGACTGGGAGGCACGGCTGGGCACGGGGCGGTGGGGGCTCCGCCAGGCCCGGGGGGCACCCACCCAGGAGCAGCCAGCAGAAGTGCTGATTGGCTGCTGATGACGAAACTGAGATGCCTGTGCTGTGATGGGTGGTCCCTGGGGGGTAGTCTCGAGATTGACAAGGGCAGACGGGGGGGCCACAAAGGGATGGTGGGCACCTGGCGCTGTCCTGGCGGCCAGTGCGCTGCCCGTTACAGCCAGGCTGGGAGCCAGAGGGCTCAGTGACGGGAAGGAACAGCTGCATGTCCAGCTCTCCCAGACCTGGGGGCGGGGGCCGCGCTGGGAAGGGTCTGTCCAGGGAAAGGGCCCCCCCGTTGGGCAGCTGTACAACTTGCGTGGTGACAGGCTTGAGCGAAGGTGAAAATCTGCTCACCCAGTTGCGCGGTTTCTGAAACATTGTGTAATCGGAGGGGGAAGCACACCGGAAAGAAGTGTATACATTTCCAGCCCCGCCCTGGCCCAGGAGCCCGGTGGTTCGAGTGCCGCCCTGGTCAGCCAAAGCCACTGTGGGTCTGATCCCCCATCAGAGCACAGACAAGAACCGGCCAATGAATGCACAGGTAGGCGAGACGGCACATGGACCTTCTCTCTCTCAGATCTGTAAGGAAAAGAAACATTGTCACTAGTTACCTTTGTGTCAGGAAGCACTTTTTTCTTTATACTTTAGTGTTTTGAAGTTTTTTTTCTATCTTAAAACATTTATAACGGGCAAATGTGTCTATATAAAAAGAGATACTTTGAAGGATGGAGAACAGAACGTTCGGACAGCACGACCACGGCCGCCCCTGACCTGGAGGCAGCTCTCTGTAAAGAAAGGGGTGTCGGTACCGGCGCCGCCTCCCGGAGCTCAGATTCCAGAGGAAGCGCCCTCGGCCAGCAGACAGACCTTGGGTGCAAGGCCATGGCCTGGAGGGGCGGAGCGCAGCTCAGGGTGCTCCCTGCGCCCAGGGCGGGAACCTGGCAGAAGTCCCGGTTAGCCCCGCCCCGTCCTCGACTCTGAGCCCCCCACCACTGGAGACTCTCTCGGGCCCTGAAACACAGGCGTCGCGCTCGGAGGTGTGCTCGGTGGCAGCCCTTTGCAAGCATCTGGATCCCCCTTAACGGGGAATTCCTGGACGACCGACTCGTGGCAAATCGAACAGAAGGCGTGAGCACGTCGGATCAGCGCCGCAGACGCCGAGCGCACGCCGGATGGGAGAGCGGGAGAGCGGGTTGCCGGGGAAGGCGCCGCCGCTGCGCAGGCCTTCGCGCCGCCACGGGCCGGCAGCTGCGCATGACCCGGGGCACCTGGAGGGAGACGCAGGTGGGGGGAGCAGACTAGGGAAACAGCCACTGCGCATCCGCCTCTGGTGGACCCCAAAACAGACTCTGCCTTTCGGGGTCGGGGGCAGCCAGCCTTTATTCGACTCCGATGGGAACAGCGGTTCAAGAAGGACTAGTTCAGGCAGGAAGAGGCCCAGCGAGCGATCCCACGACCAGGAGACAGAAGCCGGGGGTGCTCGCGGGCAGGGGAAGGCCGGCACGTCACCGGAGAAGGCAGGCCTTTCCACGGGGGAGGGGGGGTGCGACGCAGCACAGCGACGCCACCCGGGACTGCTGCAAACCCTCAGTCGGCGGTCGCGTCTGCCGTCTGGTTAGGTCTCCGTGCAGACAGGTCTTCGGGCCGGACGCCGTGTCGCCCTAGGCCCCGTCCAGGGCTTATTTTGCCCTTTTCCAAACTCCAGACGCTGGAGGCCGAGGGAGGCCGGGCAGGGCAGCCCCTCCTCCGGGGCCGCAGCCCCCAGCTCAGTGTTGTCAACGGTGGCCCCGTCCGCGTCCTTGTTCTCGTCACCGAAGCTGCAGAACGTCTGTGACCTCGCTGCAAAGACGCCACATACGCCCCGCGGACGGCAGCAGCGACTGGGCGACGTGGGTCGTTTTAAAGACAGCGGCCCGCTCGGGAGGTGGGGGCGCAGGGCGCTTTTACCTCGGACGGACTGCGGGGCGAGGCTCCGGCCCCACGCGGCGCGTTCCCGACTGACCCTCTCAGCTCGCAACTGCGTGGCTGCGGGGCAGGCTGGCGGCGGGGGGCCGGGTCTGCCAGGGATGGCTGCCTGCCGTCACTCGCGTGCTCGCGGCAGCTGGTGCCCCCTTATCACGTTGTTCAAGGGTCAGGTGCACTCAGAAAAAATACTGTATTTATTTTTAGAGAGACAGGGAGAGAAACATCGATGGGTTACCTCTCCAGCGCCCCCGACTGGGAACCTGGCTTGTGACCCAGGCAGGAGCCCGGACTGGGAATCCAACCAGCAGCCCTTCGGCTTGCCAATCCAGAACCACACCAGCCAGGGCAGCTGTGCTTTTTTCGGACATACCCCGTCCCCCCCCAAGTTCACTCAAGAAAAACGAAAACAGCAGCAGAGGAACAGCCTTGTGTTTCATTAAGATGTTTAGCTCGGTTTGAGCCCAGGTACCGTGGCCCACCGGGACGCCCTCCAGGACTCGGGGCCCACGGCTGCGGGCGTGGGTCCTGGCACCCGGGAGGAGGAGGTGCCCTGATGGGGCCGCTGGCGGGGGCAGTGGGCAGGGAAGAGGTGGGCCCAAGGGAGGGGGCCCCTGAGGGGCGGGGCCCGGCCCAGCTCAGTTCTGTGGTCAGCGCTGCTCTCCGCTCTCCCCCCTCCCCCTTCCCTCCGTCTCCGGGTCTCCGAGGCCTCCAGGGAGGGGCGGGCCGAGCTGCTGCCAGCTGCTCCCCAGGGCAAACCCGCTCCAGAGGCCCGGACCAGGGACTGCCCACAACTTCCCAGAGGGCGTTCTGTGCCAAAATGCCATGTGTGCCCAACCCGGGCCCCGGTCGGCGCTGCACACAGGGCTGGCACACTGGGTCGCCCACTCACACCCGCGTGGGGAGCGGGCTGCTGCCCTGGGATCGAATCCCGCTGTGCCGTCTCCGTCGAGGGATGTTTGGGTCCAGTCGCCCCGGGAACCGGGCCGGTCTGTGCAGCCCGCAATTTCGTCGGGGTGGCCGAGCCCGCCTGCCAGGTGGGGGAATGAAACCCGAGGGAGCAGAGAGCACAAACATTTATTTACAAAAAGTCCAAGGTACATATGATACAGGCTTTTTACACACAGTAGTTAAAAAGAATTATTTTATGTACTTTTGCTACCAGAAAGAAAAAACTTAATCATTTTTGCTGTTTTTATACAAAGTGACAGGTCATGCACTTTAAAAAAAGAGTTACAATTGTTGGCTAAGTGCAAATACTCGATTCCTCTGTCCAGTTTTAAGGCAAGTGGAACGGGACTGCTGCTGGCCAGCATCCTGCTCCGGGAGGGGGCCAGGCGCCAGGCGCCTCGGGGACTCCTGCTCCCCTGGACGGCTGACCTCTGTGGGACTGCCGCCACCGGCGACGTGCAGCTCAGTCAGTGCTGGCCGGCAGGTGGTTGTGGTCGCGTCTCGCCCCCGAAGCCCGCCCCTAGCACGGCTGCTTCCGGAGGAGCCCATGTCTCGGCCCTGCCCCCGCAGCACGGAGGTGCCCGGCGGGTTGTGCAGGGCGGACCCCGCGGCAGGGGCTGTCCTACGTCCATCTGGTGAGCAGACTGCTAGGGACCAGGCGCCGGCAGAAAGGCCCCCTGAGCAGCCCTGAGGCCCAGAAACAGCCCGAAGTCTCCACACAGGACGAGTCCTCGGAGTGGCCTTGGGGGAAACCATTATTCCGGGTCGCTGCATGCCCGTCCTGGGGGACTTCCTGGATGGCAGGGACAGGGGCGTGCCACCTGCCCGGAGCCCTCCACGGGGCCACACTCCCTGGCTGTGGGGCAGAGGCGGGATGACCGGCTCAGGCCTAGGCGGCCAGGGCGAGCGGCCACCAGCGGGGCCGGACACGCCTGCCGTCACCCTCCCCACCCGGTGGGTACCTGTGGGCGGCTGACGGCTCTCCGAGACCCTCCCCTGGGGAAACACGGGGACGTGTCTCGAAGGTGCTTGTCACTGCCGTCGAGGCCGGCGGTGAGGAGCAGGTGGCCCCCAGGGGGCCGCTGCAGGCAGTGCCAACTCAGAGCAGGCCTGCCTGCCCGCACCCGCCCCCTGGCCCCGACGACCGTGCGCCTGCCAAGGGCTCCACTGCAGGAGAGGCAGGGAGGCGCCACGCGGCAGGTCCCCCACGTTCTAATTCTTGAAACACATCTAAGAAGCTGAAGGCGGTGGGTGACCAGACAGCGACGCATGGTCCCACAAGCAGTGAGCAGGCCGGGGGCGCACACCTCTGGCGGTGGGAGCACGAGCCGTGTCAGGGACGGGCCTCGGCCCCCCGTCCCCTGTGAGGTCATGGATGCGCGCTGGGCTCCTGGGAACTGTGCCGACCTCAGAGCCACAGCAACAGAAACGGGCCAACCCGGGGAGACAGGCGCGGTCCCAGCAGAGGCCTCTGCTCTGCAGCCCAGGGGGGCGTGACGTCCCACAAAGTGGGGGGCTGGGGGTGGGGCAAAGCCTCAGACAAGGCCCAAACCCCAGGCTGGGGCTCGGCAGGAAGAGGCATTGAGAACACGGCAGGGACCCCACGCAGACCATGAACTCAACCTTGAGAAAGGCGGCTGCTGGGCCTGCAGGGCACCTGGAGGGACAGCTCCTGGGATGGGGGTACCCATGGCCTCACCAGCCTCAGGGGAGCTGTTCGCTGCCAGGCTGGTGACAGAGGCGGCTCCTCAGTAGCTGGGCTGCCTGGGAGAGCCCCCAGGCTCGTCCGAGCGGCCGGACTCGGGGGGAGCGCACTGGACTTCCCGGAGTCGGAGCGGCGGCCCAGCGCTCTGGAGGGCCAGTGACCCCAAGGGAGCAAACAGGGAACACCTCAGACAAGCCAGAGCAGAGCCCACAGGACCCTGGACTGTCACCGGGGTGGTGTCCTGCACACGAGGGACACGGTCTGCAGCCTCCCCACCCTGAGCGGTGCTCCCGGGCCTGTGGCCGCCGCTCCGCCCTCTGCGCGGGGCCAGCAGCTGGGCTCGGAGCAGCGGGGGGCCGCCCCGGAGGCCCTCGGGCACCTGAACGGCTGCAGCCCAGCCCTGGCGGCGCCCCCGCCTCACCGCTCTCTGCAGACGCACCGTTCGTCACTTCAGCTTTATTAGGGGTGGGACAGCGCTCTGGTAAGGGCACGGCTCAGGCGTCAGAAGCGATGGCGCGGCTGGGGGCCGAAGTGCATGGGCAGGTTGTGCTCTAGGGGCAGGTGGACGGGGGCGAACTCATAGTTGACCCGGATGTTGGGCAGCGGAGGCACGTAGGGTGCGGGGACGGGGCCCACGTTGAGGGGGAAGTTGTTGAAGACGGGCCGGACCGGCGGCAGGGGGAAGGGCGGGTGCACGAAGGCGTAGGGGGGGATCTGCGGCTGGTGCAGGTTCTGCGGGACAGGCCTCGGCAGCGCCTCGACCCTCTGCACTTTCTCCGGGGGCTTCTCCAGGGGGGGCCCGATGCGCTTGAAGGTGTTCTCTGGGGAGGAGACAGGGTGCGTCAGGGGGACAGTGGGAGCCAACCGCGCCCAGGTCTGGTTCCGCCCCTGGGGCCTCGCCCTGGTGTGGGGCCCGCCTGCCCGGGGGCTGGAGCTGGGAGCCAGCAGGCGGCGGCGGCGAGGCCGGGAACCCTGACTGTGCACACAGGGAGGCCCCCTTAAAGCACAACCCCCCCCCAGCTGTCACTAAGGACAAAATTGTCCTTCCATCCGACTGTGACACCCCCACAGCGACCACCTGGGGAGGTCGGGGGCTGATCCGGTCGGACAGGCCGAGCCTCTGAGGCCCCCTTGGGGCCGGGCTGGACGGCCGCCCGCAGAAACGCCACTGCGAGCGTTCGTAGGTGGGCTGGGCCCACTGTCCTCGGAGTCTGGTTCGGCTGCTACGTGCTTCCTGCGCTGAAACCCACCCCTTGGGACCTTCTGGCCATCGAGGAGACGCTGAAACCGTATGTAAGCTTTTACGGCCTTCCCCACAGGGAGCAGGACGAGCCGCGTATCTACAGCCGCCCGAGGGACGGCGCTCCCTGGGCGGTGAGCGCCAGGGTCCGGGGAGAGCCAGGGTCCCGGCGGGGACGCGCCGCGCTGGCCTGTGAGGGGTGGGGAGGGGCACTTGCCTCCGTTCTTCCTTTTCTGTTCCTCTTCGGCCTCCTTCTGGATATCCTCAATCAGCTTCTCGTCATCTTCCTGGAAGAACAAGACGGTAGACGAGCTGGCTCTCAGCCGGCCGCCTGCGGTGGGGAGGCCCCGCCGGGAGCCCGGGGACGCCGGTGTGCCGCTGGCCGGCACTGGGAGAAGCCGAAGACCTGCTGCTGACCAGCGGGGTCCTGGGCCGGCATGCCACTCACCCCCAGTGCCCCGAGAACCCCCTCCTTCCTCCCTGGAGGGGTTCGGGGAGGAAGCCCTCCGGGAGGCTGGGAGGCAGGCACGGGGTCTGTGCACCACAGCGGGCTGCTGGGCCCTGGGCCGAGAGCCCGCTCTGCTCACGCAGCTGCGGGGTGGGTAGGGGAGGACCTCCCTCCAGCTCTGAGGGGCGGGCGGAGAACCCGAGGGTTTGGGAAGCGGGAGAGTCTGGGGCAGGCAGGGCCTGACGAACCCTGAGCTTACAGACTCCGAGCACAGAGCCTGTCCGCGTGGAGCCCAGCAGTCTTGCCGACTCGCTGGACGAACGCCCGCGGAGGCCCACTGGGCCCCCAAGCTGGCCTCTGGCTCCCTGGTGGCGGCGGGCCGTGGAAGCAGCAGCGCTCTGCCAGCTGTGCCCTGGGGACCGGACCAGCGCCACCCCAGCCTGGCCTTTCCCTGCTGACCTGCGGCCCTGACAGTCTGCCGGCACCCACGGAACTGCTCGGATGGGAACGGAGGGCCACAGAGGGGAGCGCAGGAGCCAGAGAGGACCCCCGGAAATCCCTGGGCCGGAGAAGAGCGGGGCAGTCCCACCGTGGCGCTGAGCAACCGACAGCTTGCCCATTCACTTAGCATGCCACCGCCGTCCCAGCCCAGACGGCGACCTGTGGTCCCACCACAGTGCCGTGAGCCGCCGGGGCCGCTGGAGGCAGACGCTGCTGTCAGCGCGCGCCAGAGACCTGCCGTGCCGGGCACTGCCCGCGTCCGCTGGGGAAGCCTCTGCCCGGCAGGGCAGCTGACGGGCGAGGGAGCGGCCGCCGCACAGAGGAACTGCGTTACGCGCCTAGTCTGTGCCGCGGGCAGCAGTGGGCCCCGGCCACTTCGCTTCCATTCTCCGGGCCTCGCGCCGCACGATGGTCTGGACTCAATGGCCTCACAGTCTCAAGGATTCTTTCCAACTCTGACACTGGGAAATCCTTATCACACACCCACATCTTCTTCAGCCTCCCCTGGCCCGGTGTGGTGAGCAAGGCCCGGGGAAGAGGAGGGTGACAATGGCTGAGACCCCATCACGCACGTGAGAAGCTGCCCAGGGCCTGCGCGCCCCAGAGAGCCACGTGTCCGGGAGGGGTCCTGACGGGGGTCCTGTCCAGCCCCCAGGTGACGCATAAAAATGCTGTTAAAGGAAAAATCCAAGACACGGTCGTCCAGCCTCCTCGCACACACTCCACGTGGGGACGTACTGCTCTACGTGCACTCACTAAGCCCACGGACACGAGGGGCTGCAGGAGCCGAGAGTGTGGCGGGCAGCCTGAGGGCTCTGCGTGCGCGTCCCGATAAACCCCACCCACCGTCCAGGTGAGGAGCTGGCAAACCTCTTTAGTTTGGTGCCAGGGCCGGCCTAGAAAGAAGGTAAACAGAACAAGAACAAGGGGGACATCGATCAGGACGAAAAGTGGGAGCGCAGCGGCCTGCGCCTCTCAGCCAGTACGAACTGCCGACCTCAGCCCGCACCTGTGCAGACCGTGGGGCGGGCGGGCGGGCGGGCAGGCTGCCGGAGCGAGAGGGGCGGGGCGCGGCGGGAAGCAGGCACCACTGCTCAGGGCGGAGGGCGCACCAACGGCAGCACCTCGGGGGGCAGCACCTCGGGGTTAGACGGAGAAGCTCCGAGAAAAAGCAGCACATCACCCCTCGGCCTTCTGGCTGAGGGCTAGCGACGAGAAAGTGGAACAGGTTGGGAGATGACCCCAGCGTTTCTCTCAGTGGCTTTTTTTAACTCCTCACCCAGTGACATACTTACCCATTTTGGAGAGAGAGGGAAGGAGGGGGCGGGGGAGGGAGGAAAACGTCGAGGGACCGAGGAAGACAGCCTGGCCGCCTCTCACACGTGGGGCCCAGGCACCGAACGCGCACCCCAGGCTGGGGGCCCTGGCTCTCCACCGAACCTGCGCCCTTTCGGCTTATGGGACGACGCTCCCCTGAGCCACACCGGTCAGGACTCAGTGGCTCTTCCACGGCACGAGTGACAGGCTTCCTGACCAGTTGTTTTTAAGTCACCACTAGTAGCACATCACCTTCACCGTCGCCACCACCGCGTCCCCATGTCCACCTCATCCCGGAGTGTGCTCACACCCAGCGGTCCCCAGCGGAGGCCCAAGGCCCCCCCCCCGGCCCAGAGGGCACCGTGGAAACCACCCGTTCAGGCTTCCTCTACAGCTCGGGAACAGCGCGCCCCGAGACGGCGAGCTGCTCCACGTGGCGGCTACCTGGTGGCGGCAGCGGCGGCCAACGCTTCAGGCCGTTCCACAGCGCCTCCCCGACAGCTTCCCTGCAGAACCCAGGCAGTCCGTGCAGACTCCCCGGCCCGCACCTGGTCGGGCTGCGGGGCCCAAAGGGCGCACGCACCCTTCCTGCAGGAGGCAGCCCAGGCCCCGGCCGGGCCGGGGTGGCTCAGTGGGTTGGGCGTTGTCCTGCGAACGGAGAGGCCACACGGTCACTTCCTGCTCAGGACGCAGGCCTGGGTTGGGGACCAGGCCCCCGGTTGGGGGTGTTCCAGAGGCAACCGATCCGTGTTTGTCTTGCACACTGACGTTTCCCTTTCTTTTTCCCCTCCCTTCGCCTCTAAATAAATAAAATAAATAATAAAGTCTTACAAAAAAAAAAAAAAAAGCGCTGAGCGCCTGGTGCGTGTCAGGCCCTGCCAGGCTGGCTGCGCAGCAGGCAGTAGGCAGATGGCCCCTCCCCCCTCCTGGAGCTTCTGGTCTAGTGCCGGGGTCAGCGTTAGTGGCCGGCCCACACAGCTCTGTCAGGGTAAGGGAGACTTGGGGCTGAGAGGGGCTTCCCCCTTCGGGGAGCAGACTCCAGGTCCTCGGTCATGCCGTGGGGGGGGCGGGCGGGCAGGGCCCTGCCTGTCATCAGCACCAGGTTTCCTGTCACAAACCCGGATGCTCCTGGTAGAAGCGCGGCACCAAGCGAGCGCCGTGTCAGCAGGCCCTCGGGTGGGTCTGAGGCCCTTGCGGAGGCGCGTGAGCGGGGCTTCCCGACAGGGACCCGCCGGCTCCTGGAGGACAGGGCGGTGGGGCACGGCCGCTGGCAGGGGCTCTTCCCGGGGCCCCGGTCCCGCACCTTCTGGAGAGTCGGCGGAGCCTGGTCCGTCCGTCCCTGGCTCTGATCGCCCCTGATCTGGCCAGTGGACTCGAGACCGGTTGTCCTTACACCCCCGCCCTCCCCCTGCAGGCAGTGCCCTTGGAGTCTGGATTCAGCCTGCATTTCAGCAGAAAATGTCAGCGCTCAGCTGTTTGAGCAGTGATTGTTACCATAAATAATGAGTAAATTGTTAGGTGCACCTAGAATATGGGTCAGGAGTCTCAGTTTTCAACTCTCTCCAGCTGGTCGGAGCCGCGGGACACTCACTGTGTTTGGAAACCGAGACCTGAAACGCTGTATAACACGCGTGCAGTTGTGGCTGCGTTCTAGCCACATGCGTTCGACTCCGAGGGGAAGGTTTCTTCCCTCCTCTGGGGCGGGGTGTGTGCTCCTTTCACAGGCAGTTTCTCTTAAGCATTTTAAATTCCTCAAGAGCAAAGGCCGTTTGAATTATGCACTTCAGAAATGGTAAATTTTATACATATTTCACCACAATTTAAAAAATTAATGTTAAGAAAAAAAGAGCGAGGCCCTGGCTGGTGTGGCTCAGCGGACTGAGCACAGGCCTGTGCACCAAGGGGCCGCCGGCAGGCGGGAGGCGACCAGCCGGTGCGTCTCTCCCTCCCCCATCCCCTCCCCCTCTCTGAAGGGCGAAGGCAAGTGTGCGGCTGTTTCGAGATGGAATATGAACACTGGCCCCTCATCAAAACACTTCTTGGGACTTCCGGCCAAGATGGAGGCGTAGGTAGAGACACTGTGCCTCCTCACACAACCAAAGAAAGGACAACAATTCAAATACAAAACCACCAGGACTGACAGAAAATGGAACTGTATGGAAGTCCAACAACCAAGGAGTTAAAGAAGGAACGGCCGCCCAGACCGGCAGGAGGGGCGGAGAGGACTCCCGGCAAAGTGGCGGTGGAGGACCAGGGCGGGCAAGGCGGCGGCTGGCCGACCGGGCGGCCCCACGCTCATGCAGACCAGGAGGACCACCCGGGCAGCGGGACAAACCTCGAGACCCGGGGTCCCAGCGCGGGGGAAACAAGGCCCCGGGCCACCGACTGGAAACACCTGTGTGTGGGGGGGTGAGGTGGCGGAGGGAGGGACCCCCAGCCTCGCAGGGGAGTTTGCTGGAGAGACCCTCAGGGTCCCAGAACGCGCCCAGGCTCGCCCGCATGGAGACCAGCACCAGAAGGGACCACTGTGCTTGTGGGAAGCGGGGGCAGTGACTGCAACCCGGCAGAGAGCGGAGCAAGCACCACTGTTCCCTCTCGGACCCGTCCCCACAGACAGTGTCACACCACGGCAACTTGGGTTACCAGGCCCTGGTGAACACCTAAGGCTCCGCCCCTTATATGTAGTAGCAGGGGCGAGGAGACAAACAAAAAACCAAAAAAACAGAAACAAAAACAAATGAAAGAACAGATCAAAGCTCCAGAAAAAATAACACTAGGCAACAAAGAGATAGCCAACCTATCAGATGCACAGTTCAAAACACTGGTAATTAGGATGCTCCAGGATTGGTTGAATTTGGTTGCAAATTAGATGAAAAAATGAAGGCAATGCTAAGTGAAATAAAGGAAAATGTACAGGGAACCAACAGTGATGGGAAGGAAATCGGGACTATAATCAACGGTGTGGACCAGAAGGAAGAAACATTCAACTAGAATAGAATGAAGAAACAAGAATTCAAAAAA